CGTGTGCTTTCCATTTTCCCTCTACAGCGAGAAGCTCACGGGGCTTTCCCCAACCTGTGTCGAGAGCTGGAGTTAAATGAAATCTCAGATGTGTATTCTTAATAGTTTGTTTGGGTCCCTCCCTTCCGTTTCGCTTCTCATGCACTTATTCGCTAAGCTGAACAGCCAATCAGAGTGATTTCTTTGGCCGACAGCCTCCCGATTCAACATGTCGAATCGGCGGCGGAAGGTGTCGGCACGGCCGAAAAGACACAACGGTGCAGTACACCCCAAGACACACCAATCTGAGTAGGGCGACACGACGCTCATCGACGGCCCGACATCTATCGACATCTATCGACGCAGAAAATCGGCTTGGTCTGTAATGAACTTTAGTCTCTATGAACGTATTATCTCAGGGATGCCTTGAGGGAGTTTCTTTCAATTTGGCAAACTAGTCGACTTGGACTACTTGGATAAACTGATTAGATTCTGGTGGAGTATTTTGTCATAATTAGCGGAATAATTCTTGAGTAACGGCCAAGAAACATGTTTTTGGCCATAAGTCAAGAATTAGTTTGCTCATTCTTACAAAATCCCATACAAATGTCCAATAGTATAACACGATGAAGTGATGACAAGGTCAATTTCACTGTGACATAATGATGTACTGCAAAAACCCTTTATGGCTATGATTCAACACTATTCTCAGGAACAGAAGAAGAGACAATATTTCACATTTGGTTGGATATTGACTTTGTGAAACTAACGTGCTGTTTCCACTTTGAAACTGTGGTGATTGATTCTCCTTTGCTGCAGGTTTGTTGATATGTTTGGAGCATCCACATTTCAGCATTTGCAGCTACTATACAGCAACATCAATATATAAAGCATTGTCTTTCATTGTCTTTGTTTTATCAGAATCAGTTTTATTTACCCATTATGTGAGCACATACATTTGACTATTTGTGTTATTTCCCTTAATGAACTTATATACACACAATAATATACATTCAGCAGAACAAGAACAACAAAGCGTATCCTCTATTCTAAGACCCAGATTGCCAGATTGAGCTTGTTGCAGAGAGGGTGAGAAAGGTTTTCCAAGATGGCTATTTCATTCCCCGTCCTAGTCTCTACATTTTTATATGTTGAGATTTAGACATAAACTGCATCTTGACTGGTTGTCGGGGAAATATAACTGCCAGGCCATAATTCTAAGATACAATCAGGACAAATATCTTATCTATGCGCCAGCCTATTCTGCACCATGAGTAGATGTGATGTCCGGCTATAAGTCACGTTCAATGAACTGCCTGTAACCCTGTAATCTATGTCACAGGAGCTGAGACCGAGTTCTTAACGAGACTTTCACAAATCCCTTTCTCCCTGCTGCCCTGCTAAGAAGAGCCTAATCATCCCTGTAATGAGTTGGAACCACTCATTTCTAAACCGCAGATTGCATGCGGGAATCATGATGAATCTTTATTATTGGCCCGTAGGAGAGCAACATGTCCTCATAATGAATAAAACAATTTAATCTTTAAGGTACTTTATGTCTTTATGGCTTTTGTGGTGGCAGCATATTATATTTTAATTCTGACTACATTTAAAGAAGAAGATATTCTGTATTAATCCCCAAGGGGGAATTATTTCATTCTGCTGTAATATTTAAGAAGATGTGTTCTACTCCTTGTTAAAGCGTAAATCTCTGGTTGGATAAATACTTAATTCAACAGAAGCTGGCACTGAACAATGTTACGTTTGACAATAGCTCTGTAAAAGGAGGGAAACAAAGACATTCATATTCTGAGAAAAAAAAGCAGTGAATTTAATAATTCAAGATCCAAGGCTTTTGTACATAGCTACAGTGTAATGAAAATCTTAGGTCAACAGTGCAACACAATAAAACAAATAAAATAGTTGAAATAGTGCAAAGAACTTGAAAGAGATGAGTGAGTTGTTTTAAATGTGTCCCCACTGGCTGCGCAGCCTAAGGCCTAAACGTGGCCTTTCATTATGGATGCAGTCATTGACATCCGAAAAATGAGCTGCTGCAGGCAGGAGAAGCGGTGCAGAGTAGAGGTGAGACTATGGTGATGCTGAAGGCTCACAGGCAGGAGGGCCATCAAAGACAGAGGTGCCTCTGCAGGAATGAAGGATTAGTCACAGCCACAGATCTAACACTGATCTTTTTCTCATGCTTTGTCCTCATTTCTTTTGCATTCCCTTCCCTTCCCTCACACTGTTGCCCGTGTAATTGTTCAGTGGCTTGGATCTGCCAGTAAGTGACATTTGACCGTTGGGCTCTGGAATTAATCCTGGACTTGGCAATCTTTTCCGACAGTGATGCAGAGTCTCCTCTTTCATCATGGTTACCAGCTAAAGGGAAAGAACACTCAGTTAGAGAAAAAGATGTACAACACTTAATCCTTCATCCACAATGATCATACACATTCAATGGACTGCATGCACAGCTGTTTGTTCACTCCCTGCTTTGCTGAAATGTATGCAAGGCTGTGAATGCCTTGTTAATAGGTATGACTAATCTGCTATGTGAACACAGTTTGACCTGCTCACATCCAGGAGTCTCTCGGGACTCATTTGAGACTCAGTGGGCTTTAACACGAGGAGACATCTGTTTGCTTACAAATGTTTAATATAATTAATACTACAACTTTACCTAGCAGCAGTGCTACTGTATGTACCCACCAGCAAATGCTTTCACCAATACAAAGTTGTTTTTGGACTGGAAAACGAAAAACAATGCTTTTTATTTCCTCTGACAGTACCTCCATCCCCCATTGCGCCACCCCAGCTGCTGCGAGCCGGCTCCACTTACCTAATCATCCAGCTCAACACCAACTCTATCCTGGGAGATGGCCCCATTATCAGGAAGGAGATTGAGTACCGCGCCAGCCAGTCTCCATGGTCAGAGGTGCACGGAGTCAACATGGTCACCTATAAGCTGTGGCACCTGGAGCCAGACACAGAGTATCACATCAGTGTGCTGCTGACTCGGCCCGGGGAGGGAGGGACCGGCCCCCCAGGACCGCCTCTTGTGAGCAGGACCAAATGTGCAGGTGAGCTCCTGACACACTGTACCACTAGACAGGGAGGGGCTGCCTAATGCAGAGATTAACAACCTTTTGGGTATTAAAGGCATCATCACTTCATTTAATCAGGCAGTCTCATAGAAATTAAGATCGTCCAGAGAACAAGAAACATATACTATTAATTGACATGATACATACATTTATAACCACGATATCCATTTATTTTTAATTATTTTGTCTGTGATTCACTCATGGGCTGACCGATGAATATACGCTTGTTGTGGAGAGAGAAAATAAAGGAATGTCCAGATGCAATTGAAAGTAAAATATTCTTGTTTATTCCAAAAAAAAGGCGGTGGAAAAAAGAAATAAACGTTTTCAAACAAACAATTTCTCACATAAACTGATACATCAAATATTAAGCAAAATATATGCAGTATACATTTATATTAGAAAAAGTTAAAAACACTTTTATTTCTGTCTTATTATCTTCAGACCTTCGGGTCAGTAACCGCTGCCCTTATGTGTTAGAGGGTTGTGCTTGACGCCACACAGCATCATTTGATTGCAGGGCATGTTAGATAATAGAGCTCAGAGTCAAAGTCCAGGCGAGTATCATCATCAACATACACGCTCAGTCATTTAATAGAGTATTTTAACAACTCCAAACACGAATGTCCTGTTGCAGCTTCAAACTGGTCAGTATCTGCTATGACACCACAAGCTGAAAACACACCTGCAAGCTTCACCTGTGTGTTACTTTGTTTAAACTGAATTATACAATCATTTACCTTATCACAGGAATGAATTTATAGCAAAGACTGAATCTTGTGGTCGTTTATAAAAGTGTATTTGCTTTATTCCTGTTTTACCTTTTCGGGTTTGTCTTGTCAAATATCAGTTGTATTTTGTTTTACCAGAAAATCTCCTGATAGATTGACACCCGGCTGTCAGGTAGAAACCTCAAGCATTGGGCAGGTTAACCTATGCAACCTGTGTCAGGGCACTGCTCTGTTTTTTGTTAATTTCACAGGCTCATGCATTTAATCTAGATCAGGGGTCTCCAACACATGTATATATATCAAAGTGGTCGGTGACGCAGAGATCAAGGAACAGATGTGACAGCGGCACAGCGGCACCACACACGGAGCAGTCTGCTTTCTCCACCAACACCAGTCCAGAACCAACAGCAGAATGACCCGCTCTGAATCAGGACCTGTTGCTGCGGCTCAGACACACAGGGTTTTGTGTTTTTTGAAAAACACTCGTTATCGTCATGTCAGATTTTTGGTGGATTTAACCAAGTCTTGGATTGCAGAGTATGAATGTCCTCTTGCTATTTTCAGACGATAAATATGTCTGTAAAGTTTGTGAAGGCAGGAGGAAAGCTTCCACGATCACCGTCTCCTCTCCGTTCCTCCAAACCCCGCCCCCTCACTGAAAATAATGAGTGACAGGCTGATGGTGACCCGACAGAAACTTTATTATTCACTGATTGCAGGGTTCCTGCAGGTTTCGCCAACTCAAATTTAAGACTTTTTAAGACCACTTTGAATAGAATTTAAGACATATTTCACGGCAAGAAAGAATGAAGGAAAATTGCTATGAAAGAAGAAATATGTCCCATAATTACTTTCAAAGTAAATGTATTCTAATCAACATAAGAACGATGACTGAA